AGGTTTTATACTGACCATACTGGATTTTCAGGTATGATCAGTGTAAAAAGTTTTTTGTTTTGTTTTGTTGTTGTTTTAGATTCCACTGGAGTTTTCACATATATATTCATGTTTTCTGCTAATAAAGACTGTTTTGCTTYTTCTTTTCCAGTTCAGACACATTTATTTCTTTTTCTTGCCTGATTGCACTGGCTAGCATCTCCATTACAACACTGAATAGAAGCACAGGGATAGATGCAAAACTGAAATTCCATACACTACTGGTAGGAATGTAAAATGGTGCACCCAATTTGGCAAACAATTTGGCAGTTTCTCAAAAAAAAGCTTACACTTACCATATGATCAGTAATTTCAATCCTAAGTATTTACCTAAGACAAATGAAAATATATGTCCACACGATGGCTTATACATGAAGGTTCATTGCACCTTTATCTGTATCTCAAATATCCATCAATCAGTCAATGGATAAACAATATATGCCATTTCCATACAAGGGAATACTACTCAGCACTCAAAATAAGCTGTTGATACATGGAAGGCCAAACAAAGCAGCACATACCATGTAACATRTATAGGAAGTTCTAGGAAATGGAGACCACTATATAATTATAGAAAACAGAAAGTGGTGGCCTGAGGTTGGGRTGGGGAGGCATGGTGGACCAATCATCAGGACTGCGTGAGAAACATATTTCAAGTGATAAATGAGCTCACTATTTAGATTGCAGGGGAGGTTTTGTGGTAGATAMAGGTATCAAAACCAACCAAATTATAGAGCTTAAGTATGTGTAGTTGGTTATATGTCAATTAGACCTCAATGAACTTTTAAGAAATATACCAAAGCCCAGTAGGAAATGTCTCAGGATTACCTACTTTGTTAAGTTAAATAGCTTAGTTGTTAAATCAATCACTTATTTGTTCACACATCAATCTGTACAGCATTTGTAGAGCATCTCCTAAGTGCTAAGTCCTTCCTAGTTGCCAGCTTTGAAAAGACATAGGCCCAAACACTTATTCTCAAGTAGAAAGAAACAGCTCATGGAAGACCAGTGTCTTGCCTAGAACCWCAGTGGTCCCCTGTGTCTATGGACTGGCCCCAGCTCACCCCTCCAATCCAGGGAGGCTCAAGGCTCCTATATAATATGTCATAGTATTTGCATATAATTTACATACATCTTTCTGCATATTTTAAATCATCTCTAGATCACTAATAATACCTAAGTCAATGTGAACAATGTGTCAGTAATTTTACTGTATGAAGAAATARTAACAAAAAAGCATATTATATTTGGTGCAGATGCAATTTTTCCCTGAATAATCTCAATCCTCAGCTTGTTGAATCTGAGGCTGCAGAATCTGAGGGTATAGAGGGCCTGCAGTACTAAAATGTCAGATAAAATTCAGATAAAAATCATCTGATGACAGCAAAGCTGCTGAAGGAATAGACAGGAGGTGGGGGGGGGGCAGGGCTAGACTGCAGGGAAGAACCTGGAAAAGGCTGAGTGGCTGCTTTTACCCTGGAGGCATGTGCTACTTCTGAACATGGGCAGAGGGCTGAAAATCTCGGTTGGAAATCAGATAAATTAGTAGAGCTTTGGGTAAAACCTGCCAGCCAGATGAACACCAGCCAGTGTTCCCTTAGTACTTTTGCTGAAGACAGCGGCTGTCTGGGACATGAGGCTAAAGTACCTAAGCTCAGGAGAAAATGCARGGTGCTTTGTCCTGTTTTGTTTTCRCAGCTTTGAGAGATAAAAATTAGAGTTTGGAACCAGGGGGAGGGACTTTACAGAATACAYTAACTCTCAGTTGAAAATCCTAGAGAACTTAGGGCCAACTACAGGTAGACTTGAAACACATAGGGCCGTGATCCATTCTTGGTGAACCATTCTTGACTCCAAGCAGTAACTGTTCTCTGACCAGTGGAGAGAAGGATAAGCTTTCTGTGTGGGAAATAACAACACTTGAACTTATGCATTTCTTTTAAACAAAACATCCATCATGTAGTAAAATCACCAGGCTATCCGCAGATAGAAGCCCATGACCAAAAACCAAGTGAAAAAAAGACTGCAGGGCTGGGGTGTGGCTCAGTGGTAAGCGCTCACCCAGCTTGGTGAGGCACTGGGCTCGATCCCCAGCACCACATAAAGTATAAAAAATAAAGACAAATGCTGTACAAATTGATGTGTGAACAATCAATTTTGAACCACCTATAACTAAAAAATAAATATTAAAAAAAAACAGACTGCAGGAACAAATGCATGTGTTACYCATATATTCACATTAGCTGATAAGAACTTTAAAATAACTATAATTAGTGTGTTTAACAACAGAGAGGAAATTATGGAGAAAATAAATAAGATATGAAGAACTTCACCAGTGATGTAGACCTGTAACAAAGAATCAAATGCAAATTCTCAACAAAACACAGAATATTAACAGCTTAATAGACGTTAAATGGCAGATTAGAGCCAAGAGAAGACAGGATTAGTGATTTGGAATAACTAAACCAAAGCATAGAAAGAAAAAAATTAGGTGAAACCTAGAAAATAGCACTGAAGACATGGAACTTAATTAAAAGATGTAGCATTTGTGAAATTAAAGTCATAAAAGGAGAAGTACAGAGAACAAGAGAGAAGCAATGTTTGAAGAAATAATAGCCATGAAGTTCCTAATACTGTTTACGACAATCAACCTACAGATTCAAGAAGCTCTGAGACCCAAGCAGAAAACTATATCAACATACTTTATAGTAAAATCAATGAAACCAAAGATTAATAGAAATCTTAAAACCTGATGGGGAAAAAAGACAATCATTTAAAGGAACGACAAAAAAGATACACAGCCAACTTTCCTGTAGAACTGATGGAAGTCAGACGACAATGGAGTGACATCTTCGAGGTAGCAAAAGAAAATAACTGTCAATTTATAGCGAGACCAGCAAAACGAAAGAAAAATAAAGATGTTTTTAAGATACACAAAAGAGAGAATTTACCACTAGCAAACCCGATCTAAGAAAATACTAAAGAGAGTTTTTCAGACACAAGGAAAATGATCCCAGAGGGAAACATAAAATTGTAGAAAGTAATGAAAAGCAACAGGAAAGGTAACTATGTGAATAAATATAAATGAACGCAGATTCTGTAAAATAATGGAATGTCTTATAAAGTTTAAAATGTATACAGAATTTAAAAACGTGACAAAAATGCAAAGATGAGGAACAACGAAGGTAGTGAAAGTGCGCGAGGACTCTGGTGTTACTGGAACATGATCGTCTGCGTGACTTGGTGCTAAGTCAAGGTGCACGCTGTCATCTCTGGGATCACTAATAATAGAATCATAAGAAAAGACTTTGTTAATTGAAAAGAAGACACTAAAATCAAGTCCACAGAGCCCTGGCTGTCCCTCCAGGTATGAAGCTCTACAGGGAGAGGGACTTTTCCCCTAAGGGCAGGGGTAATGCCTTGGCAGAGAAAACAGTTTGTATATAAAATCCTGAAGACRCTTCCTGAGTTAACCCCTCAGCTACCTCTCCTTGGGGCACCTCCATTCCATTCATGTATTCATTCATTCCTCAGATAAATCATCAGTACAGGGTGGCCGACACTGGCAGGGGGCCATTCTTACAGAAATGAGCCAGGCTCACCAAACTCCCACTCTACCAAGATGAACAAATCAGACCTTTCTCAAACTTTTAATGCACAAATAACAGAAGTGATGCAAGTCTGGGGAAGGGCTTGTGATTTCGTATTTCTAACAATCCCACAGGTGATGTTAATGTTGCCAACTCAAGGACTGCACTGTGGGTTACAACTAAAACAGAGTGACAAATGCTATMATGAAATTGTAGCTCAGAAAGGTGAACTTGCTCATCAAAACTCACAAKTAAGTGGAGTAACTGGGATCTGACCCTAAGTGATAACCCCATTAGAGATACCTGTGGAAACAGGTAGAGAGGGCATTTAATCCAGCCTCAGGGAAATGCTACCCAAGTYGGATCTTAATAGAGAAACAGGAGTTTGCCTGGCAAAGAAGAAGGGGGACAGAAAGCTTGTAGTGCAGAAACTGTCATTAAAAACTCAAGGGAGAGGGCTGGAATTAGAAACCAGCATGTGAATCTTACTCCACCACTGACGAACTTTAAATTTTTGGACAACTTACTTGTGCTGTGCCTCAGTTTCCACAACTGTAACACGGAGGTAATCATAAGAGCACTCACCTCATTGGATCGATGTGAGAATTAAATGAGATGGTGCCTATAAAGGGCTTAGCACAGAGTAAATCCTCAGTGAACATTAGCTCTGATTATTGCAGTAGCTGCTCAATATAATAGATGAGCAACGGAAGGAACAGGATATTTCAGCAGACTGACTCCTCCTGTGCCTGTCCTGTCAGAGCAGAGACTTGGAAGACAGTGGCRTCATTACCCAGCAGGATGTTTCCTGTCTTGGAGGAGAGGGACTTGGCTATATTCCTGGACACACCATCCCAAAGCAAGCACCTTCACACTTGTTAGCGGATCTTTTCCTAAGGACCAGGGTAACAAAAATCATAGTCCCCATTTTTATAAGCAGGGACACTGATGCCAAGAGAAATGAAGTTACTTGCTCATTATTTCCCTGGGTATTAAAGGCAGAGAGAGAAATTCCTCATTTGTTAGCCAAGATCTTTCCAGAAAGATCTGTAGCACCATCTCAGGAGAAAAGCAAAATCCAAGCCCTTCAGGTCAAGGGTCCTAGGACTTCCTACTTCTCTCAAAGCTGACCTTTTCACTGCCCATCAGCACTAAGTAAGTAAARGGGTCTTTCACTTGTCAAGAGTGACAGCAAGGACATACCTGGCTCTACCCTTGATTCGGGAAGAAAGATCTCCTGGGAAAAGGTCGTGGAAAAAGAGATCTTGGGGTATCAGTAAGAGGCAGATGGAAACCAACTCCCTATCCTCCTTTGGCCCTTCCCTGGTACACACAAGGGCAGGCACACGGGGGTGTGGCTGGACTTCCTACCTAGTAGACTGCTTGGCTAGCATGGCCACATAGGTGACCACGAAGCTCTGAAACTTGGCCCGTTGCTCCTCCCAGCGGTCATCCACCGAGTAGTAGTTGGGCAGGGGTGCTCCAAACAGGATCTCACTGCGCAGGAGGGAGCTCTTCAGGTTGTCTGCAGAGAGGCCCTCATCCACGTACCAGTAGAACTCAGGGTGAGTCATGGCCAGCTCTAGAGAGCCTGCAGGGGCACSATGGGGTGGGGAAGTTCCGCAAGTAGCTCCCGCCACTCCCACCAGCCCTCCTCACCATCTCACCCCTTTCTTGTCTTATGTGTATTTATTTTTTAGCTTTAAGTGGACACAATATCTTTATTTTACATTTATGTGGTACTGAGGATCGAACTCAGTGCCTCAAGTATGCTAGGTGAGCGCTCTGCCACTGAGCCACCAACCCCAGCCCCAATCTCACCCCTTTCTAAAGCGCTGGGAGATCCCACTCAAGCTGCTCAAAGGTCACTAATGGGACAGAGGTATGGTCTAAAGACCTCACAGCGTCCCAAGGAGCGCAGCCCCCCAGGCCTGCTCCCACACCTCCCACGAAGCTTACCTCTCCATTGCAGTCTGAACCCCACCTAATTCCCAGGCCCAGTCTCTGTGGTCCTCTAATTCCACCATCTAGGTCCTATTCCAAGGTCCTCTCCTAGGGTTCTTCCCCACCCACACCCGCCTTTAAAAGRTACACCCACAACCCTCGTGTGACCCTGCCCCACTATTCCTCAAGTCCCATCCTTAACTTACCTAAAACTAACCCTACCGCAGTCTTCCTCCAACCCCAGCCTGTGTCCTATCTTCCTCTAACCAGATCCCTGGTCCTCCCGCTCCCCAGCAGGCATCCACCTCCCRCACCCCCGCCAGGCTTTCACCCTCTGTGGCCAAACATAACTCCCAACATCGTGCAGTCCAAGCGGGCACCCCAACCTCCCTCTTTGCCTCCTTCTCGCACTCCCCTTACCTCCCCTCTCCACGTCCCTCCTGGCCATGCTCCCTGGCCATGCCCAGCTCCCCTGGCCATGCCCAGCTCTCCTCCTGCAGTGCTCACCACCCAGTCTCCCACAAGCCTCAGAAGTAGTAAACCAGGACCAGGTCCAGGTCCTGGGCCCGGTGCAGCCCGGCCGGAGGGCTCACCCCGGATGTCGGCCAGGTCCTGGCCCATGCCGTCGTAGTAGATCTTGCCGCCCCTCTCGGTGGGGAAGAAGTAGGTCATCAGCGAGCTGGGCGGGGAGCAGTAGGAGTAGGAGCCCAGCGGCAGGTCCTTGAGCACCTCGTGGGGCTTCCAGCAGAACTCCCGGAAGCCCGGGTGGTCCATGATCTTGCGCTCGATCTCATGGATGGTGACCAGCCTCTCGCTGGTGAAGATGTTGCGCTCCGCGTCGCCGCGAGCCAGGAAGATGAGCTCGATGCGCCAGTGCGCGTGCGTCTGGGTGTTGGCGCTCACGTAGGTGCGTGAGTAGTCCCAGCGCGAGGCGCCCCGGCGGGAGCGGCTCTGATTGGCCGCGACGGCCGCGGGGGGCGTGGTGCTGGGCTGGCGTCGTCCATTCGGATCTGGCCGAGGGTCCTTCGGGGCTTCACTCTGGTTGGCTGCCAGATCCGCCAGGGGCGGGGCGTCACGCCGAAGACGCCTGCTCCGATTGGCTGCTGGCTTTTCGGCCGCGGAGGTGTCCCAGGCGGTCGCGGGAACCGAGCGCGGGGTTCTGGCGGCCTGCCGYGAGCGATTGCCGAGATGCAGCTGCTGCAACTGCTCCGAGATGAGGCGTTGAAGCGTCTCAGAGGTGAAGTCAGCCAAGTCGCGCCGGTTGCGTCCCCAGGATCCAAACTGGGACTTGAGTGCCAGAGCGAGGGCGTCAAAACGCTGCGAGGCCTCGTGGTTGCGGATCTCAAAGGCGTTGTAGGAGATGTCGATGTCCAGGGGCGGGTAGTAGAGGAACATGAAGGCCGACAGGGCCATGGGGATGCTGCAGCCCAGGAAGAGCACCAGCCCCGCACAGCACGGGTTGGTGAAGGCCCAGCCCAGGGTACTCCAGAAGCCCGTGGCTGGGGGCCCCGAAGGCAGAGTCCAGCGCCGCCAGCAACACTGCCCCCCTGCCCCAGGACGGGGCCTCGACTTCTGGGCCCTGCTAAAGGCCTCGCCTGCTGCTTCTTCCTCCTCCTGCTCCTCCTCTAGCCACACGTCCTGCAGCAGGGGGTCATCCTCAGAGTCCATAGCCTACAGGAGAGGGAGAGCGTCAGCAGCCTTGGGAGAGGGAGGGGATAGTGCCCTGTGGCGGGATTTGTCCTACCTGGGGTACCAAACCTACACACTTCTAACCCAATAGTATTACCATAATGGAACTGCGTCAACCAGGCATTTAATGCTACTGGATTCATCCACACGTGCATCAAACAGAAAAATCCTGGTCCTTCCCCATCACCTCTGCCAACTAGATCTTGGCTTTCAAGGCCACAGGAAGAGGTGAATTACAGCCCAATTGCAAACAGAAAAGATGTTTCTCCCTGGGTAAGGAATGTGCAAGAATGTTGACTACTCATGATTTTCCAATCTTTGGTTACATTCTGTCTTTAGAACTTGAGGCTGAGGTACACTGTGACTCCTCAGCCACCACTTTTATTTACTGAGCAACTACAAGTACCTTCAGGGTAGAAGGGAAAGAACATGACCTTTAGAATCAGACTCTGGTTGGAGTCCTGGCAGAGTGAATATTGGCAAGGCAGTGAGCCTCTGGGAACTTCAGAGTTGTCCTCTACAAAATGGAGGTGTCCAGTCATTCCTGCCTCACACAACTGTGGGACCAAAAGTATCTTTGTAGTACATTAGGAATTGTCTGTCTCAGATAGATAGATAGACAAGACAGACAGATAGATAGAAGGAAGATAGATATACATATATAATTTTTCTCCCCTCCAGGGTTTGTAACCTGCACAGCTATTGCCCAGAGATCCTGCCAGTGTTTGGTGCCTGTCATAGGTCTTATGGAGAGCCCTCAGTAGCTCCCCACCCCCTCTCTGGGATGCTCAACTGCAGCCACTGTTTATGAAGCCCAGACCACTTAATATGCAACTCCAGCAACGTCAAACCTTTGGGCACTGGCAGGGACCAGGCATCTGCATCCTGAGATTTGAGCACCAGCAGCAGGAGGGCCTGGCAGGAGAGGGCAAGGCTGGCCAGGCTGTGGGCTCTGGTGGGGTGGCCCAAAGGCAGGACACCTTCTAGCATCCGTGGGCATGGCCTGTCCCCTTGTCCTACCTGCCTTCTGTTTAGACGGAGAGACTCATTATCCAGTTAGACGCCAGGCAGTGAGACGAGGAAGCTAATTATGCCAGAGCTGGCTAATTAATGCTCTTTCCTATTAACATTCTCTGGAGTGTTCCATTTCAATTAGACGGTCTGTCCAAGGGGGGAAGGAGGGCTGCTGTCAGTCCAGAGGAAGAGAGGGCGAGGGGAAGCAGGGCAATAGAGACGGACATTGGAGAGATTCAAGATGGAGAAAGGAGAATGGGTGGTGGGGAGACAGGAGGAAATTGGGAAACAAGAGAAGGGAGCAACTGACTAGGGTGGGGCCCTGGGGTGGATGGAGAGAAGGGGCGTCCAGCACAGGGGTGGATACTGCTTCTGTGACCCGCAAGATTCCTATCAGTATCTTCGCCAGGTGTCYCAAAGCAGGCCTTTGGGGTGCCTGGGGTGCAAATGTCCTGAGGCCCAGTTTGCATCTCACAGGTGGCGGCTCAGAAGCTGAGGGGTGGTGTGCAGGCAGTGGAGGGTGGAGGGTGGAGTTGGAGCCGCCTCCTCAGTCCTCCCCTCAGGTAAAGGAGCAGACATGGGCCACATTCGTACCTCTCCTCGGGACTAAGTCTACCCATCCGACCTCCACTTCAGCCCGCCTTGTGGGGAGAAAAGTTTGATATGTTGGTGTGTGAGGATGTCAAAGGTCAAGGTTGAGTCCGCACAACCCTCCTCAGGTGATCTGGAGGCCCCTCTCTCCCATTGTGACCCCACCAGGGCTGTGGTCCCTGCCAGAATCATCCACATCTACCTCAGCTGTCCAAGCCTGGTTCAGTATCATCTCTGCTAAGAAGACTTACCAGATCTGAAGCCCCAGTGTCCCCTCTTGTCCTCTCTTGGTGTCCCCACCACCCTTGTCATAATTTGCCTGGGGTAAAAATTACTTAAGGACAGAGATCAAGAGGAGTATGGCAGTGGCAGGATCTGTGGCTTTGGAGGCAGAGAGACTTCAGTGCAGATCCTGTGTGACTTGGAGCAGGCAGCGTAACCTTTCTGAGCCTCAGTCTTCCCTCTTGCAGGACGGGGACAACGGTACTCACTACAGAGGTGGCGGGAGGGTGACGTCGACTGCAGGCTGGTCACAGTGTGCGTAAGGCAGGGAAACGAGGGCTCTGCTTTCCTCTTCTAACCCCACGGAGGCTGCGAACTCCCCGAGACCCACTCAGCAGGGTGTATTTCCCAGAGGTGGCCACGGCAGTGTCTTCTGTCCCACCAGCTCATCTCAGGAGGTGACTCTGGTATTCTTCCCTCCAGAGGCAATGTGTGCATTCCTCCCCTGGAATCTGGGTGGGCCTGAGGGAACCTGTACCGCAGCGGTGCCGCTTTGTGACTCCSGGGGCTGAGTGATACAAGGTGCAGCTTCCGCGGCCAGGAGCTCCTGCTTGGAGCTGGCTGCCATGGGGGCGGGGGGCCAGAGCAGCCCGTGCACCAGCCCAGGCAGAGACCACGGGAGGAGCTCCCTCTGACAAGCCAGCTGACAGCAGCGTCACCCAGCGTGTGATGGAAAGGTGTGAGCAGGACTGCCTGCGGGGAGTCCCCACTCCCACGTGCAGGAACCCTGGCTGTCACGTCTTCTGGGAGTAGGAGAGCCAGCGGCCTGGCCCTGTCTAGAGGGACACTACAGCAGCACCCGGCAATAGTACCCAGAACAACCCATATGTGACTCTGACCTGCAGACAGCATTTGCTCTCAGAAAGTTGGGCAGAGCCCCGTCCCCCAGCCAGAGCCCCACAGTGTTGGAGCCAATGGGTCTGGGCCACCGTGGTCCCTGTGGGGCGAGGAGGTCAGATGTGCTGAGTGAAGGAAACAGAGGCTCTGACCATCTTGGGGTCAGTGTTCATAGACCCCTCCCCTGGACAGAAGGACAAGGGAGGTGTCAGGCGATGTCAGCACCTGGCAGTGTGGCCCCCTCTGGGTTGGGGAAGATCCGGAAGCATGAGAAGAGGACTCGGTGAGTCCCTGGTGTGTCACACCCTCTGCCACCACACCTGCCTTCTCAGTCCACCCCTGAAACCAAGAGCTGCCACGAGGGTGGCCACACCAGTCTGGTGGCCCACTGCCGTGTCTCTGGGCCAGCCTCAGCCACCAACTTTCTGTATAGCCCCAGGTAATGTCCCATCCCTTCTTGGGGCCCCGTCTACCCATGAGATGGTGAAGGCCCAGGTCTCTCCGGCTGGGACACCCCCAGGAGGGCAGGCCCGGCCCAAGGGTTCCTCCACCCCCACCCCCCACCTAAGCTGAGCCCCCCCACCTCAGCCAGTAGCCGCCTCCTCGACCCCTGACCCCCGGAGGACAGAAGATCACAATTTGTTTTCCTTTCTTAGGTGACGGAATGGATCAGCTTGACAAGGAGCTCCGGGTGCTCTGTGCAGAGGTACAAAGGGTGGCTCCCCAGGCACCCTGGATGCTGACACAGCCCAGAGCAGGATGGGCTGCGGGGGGCCTTGTGGTCTCCACTGTGGGGGGCTTGGGGTGTTCTCAGTGACAACACCCTCCGACTCTGTCCGCTGTCCCTCTGACACACACAGAGGGAGTCGGGATTTGACTCTGTCTCTCAAGGCCCTGAACCAAGTGGACACACATCCAGGGATCCAGGCTCCCTCTCTGGGAAAGGCAATGGGTGGTCACCAGGGAAGGAAGACCCCACCCTGTTTCAAGGTGAAGGGTTGGAGGGGCCCAAAGCCACATCTGCAGCAAAATCCAAATTTTATAACAGGAAAAAAACAACCGATATGTGTATATTTAAATAAAACCCACTAGCTGTGGCCGTGCAGTGTGGGAGGACCATGGTGATTTTTATACTCCCCTTTATACTTGCCTGTCCCCAATTTTTCTGCAATGATCAAGTGCAGCCTTACTTTTAGAATCAGAAATAAATGTTATTTAAAAATAGAACGTGTGTGTGTGCGTGCGTGGAAGGGATTTGCAACAGCCTTCAACTCTTTGCAGAGTTACTATAATGGGCGTGGGAGGGGGCTTTGTCCTCCAAGGAAAAACCAAGCAGAGTTGGCTTCAGTAGTAGCAGCAAGAAAGCGGCGGGAGCTGGGACACAGGACTTGGCAGATGCTCAGTGGTGGGTGCCTGTGCCATCTCCAGGCCCCTCAGATGCACAGAGAGGTCTTGAAATGAACAGGAAGTAGGCATGGTTCATCAGAGCCAAAGGGACCCTCAGGGGTCCTGGTCCAACTCTGTGGACTTGCACATGGGAAAACAGACTCAGGGGTCGGGAGGTAATTCCCAAGGTCGAGGGGCCATGGCTGTTGGCTGGTGGTTCTCATCCTGCTCCACCACTGGATCTTGGGGTAGTTGTTTTTTTTTAAGTAACTTCATATATATGAATACATACTGTATATGAATGTTTGGTATATATATATATATATATATATATATATATATATATATATGTATGTATACATTTATTTTATAGTTGTAGATGGCACAATGCCTTTATTTTATTTGTTTATTTTTATGTGGTGCTGAGGGTCGAACCCAGTGCCTCACGCATGCCAGGTAAGCGCTCTGCCACTGAGCCCCAGCCCCCGCCCAGTTGGGGTGGTTTTTGCCAGCCCCAGGGCTCAGCCAGGCCTGGAGAAGCTGGCATATGGACTCAATGAGCCAAACCGGGAGCTGTGTCTAAAGTGTAGGGGGAAAGGCATCTGTAACTAGCAGCAGGCCAGAGGGACCGGCCATCTGGGCAGAGGGGCTCTGGTGGGAGGCAGTGGGGACATCCGTAGCCCACTCTTCTCCCCAGCGCTCCAGGGATGGGGCCCCAGGTCAGAGTCTGTCTAGGGCCCTGTTTATGACTCCCCTCCACAGGCATCAGATGACAGAACCCTTCCTTCTCCATTCCCCCATCCCAGCCAGGCTATTAAAATGTAATCAAAAAAACCACATTAGACATGCAGATTTGACTTAAAATACAT